TTATACATCTGTTGTTTCTCGTTGACATTTTTGTCGTTTAAGAATTCATCATTCTTACAACTTAATTAAATTTTGGTTCCATAAACATTGAAATATATACATATGCACACATGCAAACATGTAGTATGTGTTCTTATTGCAAAAACTTGTCCATTTCAGAATTGCAGATGGAGAAATGGCACTAGTCGTGTTTTAGCTTTCAATTGGTAGAGTACATGTTACTGCCGCATCCCTTAAGGGGCTAGGGTAGTCATGTGACTTTAAGGAATCAGCAGGTCGGTATCTCCTATACAGACTTCGTTACATAAACGGAGATGTGTAGCTGCTTGATAAATGCGAGATGGAACCACCGGCATTTTCTATTAGAAATGAAAAAGAAACTCAATTCAAATAGAAATACATATTCTCTGGATCGAGAAATGCAGTGACATTTTCTTATAACTTTTGAACCATTGGAACCATTACAATGAAATTTTCACAAAAAATATTTAAAAAATTATCATTCTTAACTTTAAGTAATTAAATATTTTCTGCATTTGTTAAGCAATAATTTTTAATTAATTTTAATTGATATTTTTGATAAAATAATTTTTTAAATATAATTTTACTAACTATCTTTTAGTTTCTAAATTGTGTATTTTATGTGAATGTAAAATATAAAAGTGAATACATATATCGGAAAATGTAAAAATTAAAATTTGTAACATGTTAGTCATCGCTGGGTTTTTGACTGCGTGGCTCAACCTTTCATTCTGCATATATGGCGCCTCTATTGGAGAAAAAGTAAAACTCCGTTCGATGTACTTACAATACCAATTGGTGCAGTGGTAAAACATTTAAACTATTATTGTTGGTAATTCAGCCAATATTTTGAGCGTTTAATAATAAGTAATTTTTCACTTCCATAATCTCGTACATAATATATACAGGGTGTTCGGAAAATCGTGGTACAACCGGCAAGGGGGTGATTCTACATACAAAAATAAGTGGCGAAAGAGGAATAACATTTTTTTATCTAAGGCTCCGTTTTTGAGAAAAATTAGGTTGAAAAAGTAATACTATTTAATAGGAATCAACTGGCGCGTCTGGTCATGATATATCAACTTCTCGTCATATTACAAGCCACACGAATTTGACACATCATTCAACTCAGTTTTCTCGAAAATATACGCTTTTCTTATTCCCTAAGGTAATTATCTATTACACCCCCACCATTTTACTGCGCATTCAATCCGTAATGGATATTGTCTCAAGCATTGAATCAGCCAATTAGAGTAAAGAATATTTCTCTATCGACCCTCATTAACGGATTAAGCTGCAGCCTGGTGAAATGCAGGAGTAGGACTCATTACTGTATGTAGTTAACAATAAAATGGCTGGTTCACAATGTATTGAATATTTATTTTTTTCATTTTATTTCTGATAAGAATATATCTAATACATGTTTGCAATCTGGATAGATATGTTCACATTCATACGTTTAATTTTGCAAATTCCCTAGAGTCATGTATGTATGTACATTTGCGATAGCATAAATACATACATGACATACAGTAAATTATACCACACATGTATTTATGTATGTACCTATTTATAAATGACAGATGATATCTTATTACATAGTTTAGACTTCTTCGTTTTTGAGATGAAGATGCTATGAAAATGCATAAAAAATTATGCGTCGTCCACCCTCACTCATCAACCTTTCGGTCTAAGCTTTTGATCTTGACTTGTGTAGTCAGAGGGATATAACGTTGACCCAAATTTCCATAAAAATTTTCACATGCTTACAATAAACACATGTAAAATAGATCTGTATGTAATAGATACGTAACATAAATCTGTTCTTACAAGTTTAATTTGAAGTATCTTTTATAATCCATTATGAATTTCAATTTGTAATACAGAAATAACTTTTCTCTCTTACAGACTAATTTAGTTCAAAGGAGAAGCTTCAAGAACAATCTTTTGACCTAACATTTTTTGTTAAAGTTTTAGTATTAGAAAATAAACACAAACGATAATTTTTCAGATTATAATGATTATTTGGACAGAATAAAAGTGCCTTGATGACTTTTTGATATTGTGTCATTTATGATTAGAATTGCAATTCTATTTTGACACTGGAATACAGACTAGAAAGGAATGCAGAAGAATGAAGATCACAAAATTAGGATAAATGATTGGAAAGAGAGTACATATTGGACAGAAATAGGAATAGAGATATATCATGTAGTGAATGGGAATGCATATTGGAAGAGGTAGGAAAATATAGTAGAGGTAGAGCTAAAAAAAAGGTGCAGTCATCAGTAATGAAAGTAAAGGAGAAAAAGGGGTGCTATAAGCTAGGTCTAGGTCCTAGGGGATAGACTATGGTATGATTGGAAAAAGAGTGAGTTTGAAAGAAAGGAGGTAGAGAAACTGAAGTTATAAGAACAGAACTATGAAAATGCAAAGGAAAAAAGGCTTCAGAGGAAGATGATATTAGGAATGAGGGAAAATATGAAAGGACAGCAGGATACCAAGAAAGTGGAGGAATTAAGTTTAAAAATTAATAGGGAGATTCAACAGTTAAACTAGTTCATGATTCAAAGATGGATGGATTAATGACATTATTTATCTTCCTGTAATCTTTACAGCATACTTCCCATGAAACTCTTCGTCTTGGTTGAAGTCTATTTTGGATAGTAGGGTTCCTATTGGTTTTATTGGATTGCTTAGTAGTAATAATGTTGGAGAAGCTTGGGTTGTTGAGGCAGGAAGCAAATCTATTTTTGAGGTCTTCAAAATCTCACGGATTCCATCATTTCTTACATTCTAGATTTTCACGTAATTGCAGCAAATGTAGCATATTGCTAATCATGATTCAAATCACAGTATTTTAGATTAATATATGTTCTTTATAAAAGCTTATCAACGTCTGAAGAATAAACATTCACACACTTTTTAGTGCATATAAAATATATGTTTTGCATTGCTTATCTTTTACTACTTCCATCAATTTCTTACTTCCATTGTAATATTCGGAACAAATAGATCCATACTATACAATCTTACTTATTTTCTAGTTATTATTCAAAATTATGTTATACATAATTACAAATATATAGGATATGTTTATAATATGTATTATACTGATGTAACCAAACCTATTACTCTTAGTACTCTTTAGCTGATATAATTTCAATGATTATGTATATAGTACTATACAAAATATGTACATTACCGCTATCAGTTGCTATGACAACAAAATGAATAAACATAGCACACAGCAAGGATGTATATTTTTGCAAGCAAAAATGTATTTCTAATTTTTCACTTTACATTCTTCCAACTACTTACTGCAGATAAACAAGTTTTTGAATTTTCTCAATTATCGAATTGCAAAAATAATGAATATTTTGATAGCGCATCATTATCTTGTATTTATTGTGATATTAACAAAAATTTGAAGCCATCTACAGATCGTAAGTTTAAAATAGTTTCAAATAAACTCTAATAAGATAATTTTATGTTTCTATTACTGTTTTGGGATTCTTTTTTGCAGGATTGCGATGTATATGTAATGAATTTAGCAAACAAATATCATTCAAAAATGGTTATCCCGAATGCATATCTTGCGGCTATAATAGAACGGTGACCACAGATGGAAAAGATTGTATTTTATGTAACAGTACAAAGTGTGAATGTACTATTAATGAAATACAAAGTAATAATTCAAACATATTATTTATAATACTATAATAAATCACTACATCACATTATTTATTAACATTATCCTAATTTTACAGTGGACAGAAATATTAACGGTACATTATTAGATACTATGTATTGTTTTTCTTGCCCCAATAATACTTATCCATCTTTGGATAGATCTAAATGTTTATCTTGTGATGATATAGAATATTATTATTACCTAAATCACATATATTCAACAAAATATTATGCATGGATACAAGATCACTGTTTACAGGAAAGTGTCTTTCTA